GGGCCCAGGTGCTGCAGATGTGGCTCTGCGCTGGACAAAAGCCGTGTGCAGGGGCACCCGGTAACGGAGGCAAGGGAAGGCTTTGCCTTCCTGAAACTCCCCGCCCGGGAGGGCTGGACCCACGGCGCGACCGGCCTGGGATGGGGCTTGAAGGCTGGCGCTGGGCGGGGCTTGATTGGGAGGAGGTGGTTGAAGGGGCGGGGTCTTAGGAAAGGGGCGTGGCTTTGGGAAGAAGGGGCGGGGCTTGGCCTGGCCACGTGGTGGACTCAGTCCAGGGGAGCAGGCAGAGTGCCAGGGGCTAATTCTGCTCCCCAGGGGACCTACGTCTACCCGCTGCTGAGCACGGTGCATTTCGACCCGGAACAACATCAGGCCCCCGACACGTTCGCCCCCGAGCGCTTTCTGGACGAGAACGGCTGTTTCAGGAAGCACAACGCCTTCATGCCCTTTTCCGCGGGTGTGTGGCTCTAGACCGCCGGTCCCCGCGGAGCACGGGGCTCTGTCCCCGGCTCCCCCGTGTGCCCGGCTGCGCCCCCGCCCCTCCGTGCTTGGGAAGGCCCGAGGCCACGGGGAGGGGCTCAGGAGCAGGGGCTGTTGCGCTCTGGTTCTTTGTGACCGTTCCAGCTCCGCCTTGGGAAACTGTCCCCCTTTCTACGGGCGGCGACTCGCCAGCCGGCAGGTCCCCAGAGCCCCCGGGAACGGCGCCCGCCCCTGAGGGCCAGAAAGGCCTTTCGCATTGTGAGCCTGAGTCCTGGCTGTTCGTCCCTCTTAGCTCTTGGGCGCCCACCTGCCGCCTGCTCCTCCCGAGGGCTCTGTGCCCAAAAAGCTGCCTCTCCTCTAACACCCACAGCCTACAGCGCATCTCCAAGCGCATGTGTTTGCAAGAGGGCAGGGGAGCCCCCCAGGGAATCCCCCCGGGGAAACTGAGGCGAGGTTGCATTAGTGGAAGGGGGCGAGGGCTGGAGGACTGGGGGGTTAGTGCTGACCCTGTGGCCTGCCCCGTCATGGTTTACCACTGCCC